AAGTCCGGAGGCAAGGCTCGCAGCCGAGACTCTGAAACTTCTGAACGAGCACAATATGCAATATCACCGAGCGCTCAATTGGTGACGTCTGAGTCTCAAGGTCGGTCAAAGTATGCACGCAAATCGAGGATCAACCCTAAGGCACCAAATGCCACTCTAACAAGACATGGCAAGGCATGAGACATGGTATGCAAACATGCAAATTTCAGCACTGAAAAATGACCCAAAACAGCCCCGAATCATGAGAACATGGCACCCGATGCATGGAATGGGACCCGAAATGCAAAACTAAGCATGCGCAATGGCCTACAGCTATACAAAGCATGCATTGTTTGAACATGAAATGTAAAGACAGACTCAAGACAGTCCCAAAAAAAGCATATTTACAGTTTTAAGCAAGGCCAAATAGTGAACACAAATGGGGCTAAGCTAGCATGCAAAAATGGCCCCGAAAGAGAGATAATGAAGCAAGTGGCAGCTTCTGTCCCTAAACAGAGAAGGGCCCTTCTACAATGTTGAAGAGGGGCCCAAAATATGGTATTCTACAGTTGGTGGCCGAGCCAAAAACAGTACACAAGCATGCTCAAAATACTATACAAAATAAGGCCTAAAAAGAGGATTAAACACAAAGAGCAAAAAGGAGGCTCCAAACAGCTAAATACCCTTGATGAAACATGGAGAGGGAGTCAATACAAGGCCATTTATAGTTCGGACCAGAGCCCAAAAGTATAAGCATAAGAGGCTAACAAAACATGCAAAAATGAGGCCAAAAGAGAGATATAAAGGCAAATGGAAAATGGAAGCCACAAACAGTGATGATCACTTCAACAATGTTGAAGAAGGGCTCAAAATAAGCTTCTTTATAGTTCGGACTAGAGCTCAAAACAGTTTACATATAGGCCTAAAATAATATGCAAGAAAATGGCGTACAAAGGAGATAATGAAGCAAGTGCAAAAAGGGAGCCTCAAACAGTGAGATGCCCTTAAACAAACATGAAATAGAGCTCAAAAAAATGATATTTTCAGTTAGGGTCGGAGCCCCAACATGCAAGCACAAAGAGCTAAGATGTGAACCAAGAAAAGGGTCAAAAAAGGGAGAAGAGGACTTACCCTTGAAGATTAATCTTTGACAGCGTTTTGGACCAAGAAATGCTGCCTCCTAAGCTTTGAGAAGGCCCTCCAAGCTGCTGGAATGGAGTGGTGGTGTGGTGCTAGGTGATGGTGAGGAAATGGTGTAAGAATCAAAGGGTTTTTTAAGGCTTAGAGTAGAGAGAGAGAGAGAGAGAGATTTAATGTGAGAGCTCCAAACCAAAATTTTCTAACCCTAAAATCTAAAGGGCAGGGGCTATATATATAAGCAAAAGGGGTGGAAAAGAGGGGGGAAAAAAAGAGGGGAAAAACAAATCAAGTTTCCCCCCAAAATGGCCCCGGGAGTAATCTTTCCAACGGTGGTGGCCTCATAGTTTGATTCCAAATATCCAAATGAATAGGCCTGATTCGGCGAGGACTGCTCGACTTTCTTTTAACGGTTCATGCCCATTTTCTCCCCCGACTGGATTTCTTCCCTCTTCTCTTCTTTTTTTCAACTTCAAACCCCTAAGTAAGGTGTTTTGAAAGATTTTCCAAAGATTTCATCTCTCTTTCATTCATTTCCACTTTGTCCTTGCTCGGTTTATCGAAAAGCGCAATTTTTGACAAAATGTGAGCCTCGGAACATCGCAGAAACTTTATTTCAAAAATGTTTTTGAAAGAGAGGGTTTTAAGTCTAAAATATTTTGATCGAGATTGTTCTGGTCCAGAACAGGGGTATGAAGTTGAGCTTTGACTCTCTCCTTGCTGAAGAAATTGAACCTTTGCCTTGCACATCTTCCAAAACCATCAGTCGCATCCGAGTCTTAAAGGCGGTCAAAAATGGGGTGTCTACAAATAGCATCTGGACTTAATGGAGGAGCACTGGGCTCTGGACGATCGCAAAGGGAAGGTGTTAGCCATCTGTCGGCCACCCCTGAGCATTTTCGGCCACCGATGACAGATCAGGCCCATTTTGGTCTTTTAACCACGGGTTTTTAAGTAAAGGCCATGGGGCCTCATTTCCACACACCCTCATGTCTGAAATTCCACCCTCTCTCTCTAGACCTTTCTTCTCTCTAGATCCGCACTTTCTACGCGTTTTCCAACATCCCACGAAAGTTGATTCGCTAAATCCTCTTTGTTTCCTTCATTTTGAACCAATTGAAATTTGATTTCGGTGCTTTTTTCTTCATTTTCACCACTTGAGGGTATCCCCTCAAGTTTCTCTCGAGTTTTGTGCACTTTTCCCGGCTTTGAATTTTTCTCCCATTTTCTCTCTCCTAGGCTTTGACTTTTTCCAAGTTTACCCTATTTCTTTCATTTTCTTTACTTTTTATCGACTCTTCACCCATATTCCAGATGGCAGACGATATACCGCATGATGGAACTCCTCTAGAGGTAGAGTTTGAAGAAGAGTTTGATTCTGAGGACGAGCCGGAGCCATTACCACTGAGGGTATGACCCTTTGATCCAGCGAGGTACCACCCTCAGACACACATCCTGCCAAGTGGAGGTATTAGACGCTTTACTGATGTTGATCTCGGTGCACTAGAGGATCTCCTATTGTGGGAGCCAGCCTTTTTTAAGCTTTCAGCCATCTTTCAGCCATTGCTGTTGGAGCTCATCTTTCAGCCATTGCTGTTGAGGTGTGAGCTATATCCGCCGTATTTAAGCTGCACTTCTTGCACTGTCTTTCATTTGACTATACTTTCATAGCTGCTTTATCTGATTCATCTCTACTTGATCTGTTTACATCTGCTCTTTGCCACAGGGTGAGTCCCGCGCCTTCAGGGGCTACGGTGCTACGACTGTACGGGACTGGTATGACGAGCTCCCTGCAGGAGTACGCCATATCGTCGACGTGGTTGGCATCGGCCTTTTCTACTCTGGCTTGACGAGAGTCATAGCTAGCCGCCCTTTTCTAGAGGCCCTTGTAGAGAGATAGTGGGACACCACCAACTCTCTCTACTTCTCCACAGCCGAGAAGATGACGATGACTCCCTACGACTTTGCCATGATCACTAGCTTAGGCGTAAGGGGCGATCTGATCCCTCTTGATACAGACATAGGAGAGTAGGAGACAGCTTGGGTTGAGCTATTGGGGGCGCGCCTACCTTTATACCAGCTAGGCATGGTCAAATACAGTTGGTTCGAGGAGCAGTTCTGGGGGACCGAGCTGGAGACAGTTGAGGAGACAGAGGAGTACGCTCGAGGTTTTTTGATGTTCCTCCTCGGTACCACCCTATTTGCGAACAAGGCGAATACTGTAGGATTATACTTGCTAAGCGCATTGGTGACCCTTCCCCGGGTGAGTTCCTATGATTGGGGTGTAGACACCCCATTTTGACCGGTCCTAAGACTGGGGCATTTTTTTTTTGAACACTCCAGAATGAAAATTGGAATATGTAATTTTATGAATATATTAACCGAAAAATTAAATTGAAGCTTTAATTCTAAACTTCACCCATTTTGACCAAATTAGTTTATATTATTAATATTTTATTAATTTGTAATATTTCATAATTTTATATATTTTTATATAATTTAAGGTAATAAAAAAACAAAGTCTCTTTTTGTGTGGATTAAGCAAGAATCTTAAAAAATTCGAATACTTTGGTGTTAATTCCACACTATTTCAAGAGGAGAATATTTAGGTGAGGGAGGAAAATTATTGAGGAATATTGAATCATTATCTCTGAACAATTTTTTAGTGCACAAAATTCAATTATAAAATTAGATATAACTCTTTAGGATGAGATTTACATATTTGTAATACTCACTTCACACTACAGGAAAAATGAGATATAACCACGTTTTTTTGGTGGCGTTTTTGACAAATGCCGTCCAATCTGTGAACAAATCTTTTAAATTCCCGATTTTGCTGTACTAGTTTATTGGCAAACGGTGGTATAACATGGTATGAAACGGAGGGTAACATTTGTGCCAGTGAAATGGCACAGTTTTGTGTACGTGAAATAGGGGATTTTTTTTCCCTTTTACAAAGGTAATTTTACCTATCTAGATATGCTTTTCGATTTCAATCGATTGAACAGAGACGCGACTTGAGAGAGAGAGAGAGAGAGAGAGAGAGGGCTGGTTCTTTGATTTCCATCGATTTTTGGTGATTTTGATCTAGAAAATCTTGTTCTCCCTTCTGACCTGAGTGTATATCTTCGAGATTGTTTGAATCCTTCTGATCTAAATCGATCTAGGGCTCAAGGTAAGGGTTTTCTAACCCAGATTTGCTAAGTTCACTCAAGATCTGTAAAATCTCATGGTTAAAACAACGATTTGGAATATATTTTTGGTTGATGTTTGTAGATTCACTTGCATTTTTTTCCCAAATCTAGCTTATTTCTTGCGTTTTTGCTTTTGTTTTGTGTTCTGTCTCTTCGTTTGTGGTCTCTTGCTCTTTCTAGTCCATGCAATAGGATACATGGAAAGTTTTTCTCGTTCATGGAGAATGGATTTTGTCTAGGGTTTCGCGTGCAATGTCAATGTCTCCAGGCAATTAGCGGTTTAACAATCTAGAGACGTAGATCTTATTCTCAGAGCTACTATCTCTCCGATCAGATCTGTAAATATCAGCTCTAAATTCTGTTTGTTACTTTCTTCTAGTTTTGATTGGATTTATGTTTCAGCCACAATACTATTTTGAGCAGGTGGAAATTGTGTTTTATGTTAGTTGTTGACATAGAATTTAATTTGTTGACATAGAATCAAATCCTCAAACCAAACACAGCCTCAAGGATTTTTAATTTTTATTTATAGTGATATTTAGAAATTCCTAATTCCTGAAGTTTAATGTTAAAAGTTATTGATTTTTTTTTTCTTTTTCTATATCCATCTCTTGACCGACCACTTGATCAAATTCTACTGGTCTATTTATTTTTTTTAGTGATTTTGGAGCTTTTCTTGTACATATATATTGCTTTACCCTGCTTTTAATTCATACAAATGTTGAAGTGTGTGAAAATTATTAGATTGTTGGCAAATATTGCAAACAATAGCTTTCATGATTTGGAATTGTGTTGAATTTTAGTGTTTGAGGAAACGTGCAATAATAATCGTTTAGTATGGTGAAAGCTTATTGAGCTATGATGTAGCAAGCAAAGGACCATTTTTTATTGTTCACTACGCAATTAATTATTGAATGACATGAATTGTGATGATTGTCAATTATCCATTGAATTTGAATGCTGAAACTTTTGACAAGGAGATAAAAAGCATGATTACAGATACTTTTTGTTCACAGGTTTTGAAGGTGTTCCCATATCCAATAACTATAACCACCGTTCAGTTTGCCGTTGGGACTATACTTGTTCTTTTCATGTGGACATGTAATCTCTACAGACGGCCAAAAATTAGTGGTGCACAGGTATTGTTATGTATGACGGGATGAATGTCTCATGTATTTAGGTTGCCATTATCATTATGACTCTGATTAATATGTCTTTTTCTATGACAGCTTGTAGCAATTCTCCCATTGGCAGTGGTGCACACCTCAGGCAACCTTTTCACAAACATGAGTCTTGGAAAAGTTGCTGTTTCATTCACTCACACAATTAAAGCCATGGAGCCCTTCTTCTCAGTTGTCCTCTCTGCTATGTTTTTAGGGGAGGTGTGCATTTCATATGTTTTCTTCCCATCCTGAAAAAAAAAAAAAAAAGAATAGACAAATATCAATTTTGTTAAAAATTAATTTGTAAAATTGAAGTTATGGGATTTTAAAATTTTTTAGGTCAAAATAAATACAAGGGTAAATCTGTCTAACAAAAAATGAATTTCCTTTTGGTTTTAAGAATTTAGCGTCTGGTAGTTTTACTTATACCATCAATTTATCTTCTTACACCATTTTTCTAATTACACTTTTCACAAAATTGAAATTTTTAAATTTTTCTCTTACACTTTCCGTAATTCTAAACCAATCCTCATTATTACCATTTTTTGTTGGAAAATTTTAGAAGTGAATGGGAATTAACTCTATTTGAATGATTTCTCTCCCTTGCCATCTGGTTGGAGTGACAATTTTTTTTTAATTATTATTTTATTATATAAAATAACAATGAAGTTAGAACACCCATTTAATTTGCCATCAATCATTTTTTTATATGTTTCTGAAAATATTTGCTTGTAATTTCTTATTTTTGTTGTTGACTACTGTTGGTGGTGCACACAACACAACATAGGAATGTTGTATGAAATAATTTAATGATTTGTAGAGTTCATAATGGCAAATGTTCATTATTGTGAAAGTTGTGTTTTAACTTTTAACCAATCTATTTCTTCTGTTGCAAGAATAGATACCCACCTTGTGGGTGGTTGCTTCTCTGTTACCAATTGTTGGTGGAGTGGGACTGACGTCAATGACAGAGGCATCTTTTAATTGGTGAGAAAATACACACACATTTGCTTTAAATTGTTACTCACCTTTCTTGTTGTCAAAGACTCTGAAAAAGGGGGAAAAAAAGTATATAGAGATCACACAGCATTCTGCCTGTAGGTTCCGTTTTACCCATGTCCAGTTTGCAAATCCACTTCTTCAAGATCAAGAATGAAAAGTCTTCACCAATTATGTAATTTCTCTCTGTCTCTAACCAAACAAACAATTTAATTAACTTCTGAAAAAAGAATTAGTTAACATCCTCTCTCTCTCTCTCTCTCTAAGGTCCATTAGCTACAATCCAGCTTTAGTGCAGAGGTAATATGTGGTAGAGTTTCTAACAGAGTGCACAACGTGATCCATCATTTACGTTTTTCGATGGAATGATAGCGTCACATGATATTGAATTGAATGCCTTAATTTGTGAATCATCATAACTGAGCAGTTCTTTAATCTAGTGTAGTACCACCCCTGTTAATTTGCTTTGAATTGATGATATATGAATTTGGACCATATTGTTCATCTGAATCTTGTTAATTTTTTAATTCTTCTTCCTTAGTGGAGTTCATTCATCTTAATATGAATTTGGACAAGGTGTGCTCCCTATTTATGTTGTACTTTGATCATTAGTTTTTGACTCAAATGTTTGTACTTTTGCATTTTGTTAGATGACTAAGATTCTTCTGGTAGGTAGAAAAAATATCTGATATTTCCTTTGGTGGACTAGTTAACATTGGCATCGACACTAATATTTTCTCTTACAAAGCTTGGTGGGATGGATTGGACTGAGTTTCCTTTTTACTAGAAATACAAGTGTTGCTACTATAGTTTGCCCCTGCTTATTTTTTCTTTTATTTTATTTTCCAAAACTACTCCTCAATCATTTTCGTCCATCCAGAAGTCATTGATGGAAGACTCTGGTAATAGAATTCTTTGTAGTAGACGTGCCCGAGGGAAACACCAAGGACGAAACCCCCCTGAGGTCTTCTGTTGAAGTGAAAAATAAGGATGGAGTATAATCAAATGCTTATTGTGTTTCTGAATTATTTTGTTTCTAATTTTGATAGAATTAAGCTCTATTTATTTATTGTTTTGCAGATCTAAATTTGTTTATGCTATGAGAACATTATTTATTTAATTTTACATGATTCTCATCTGTGTCTGTATTGTCTTTGGGTATGCCCTTTTCTTTATTTAGTGCTTCTTAGTATGTGATAAAATCTTCTTATTAGTGCTTCTTCAAGTTTTAAGTACTGTTTATAAGTATTGGGTACAAATTCTTCAATTTGTGTTTATTTTGGTGAATTTGATTGCAGTTTATGTTCTGATGCAGACATGTAGACCAGTGAAGACTACAATTTTTATGCTAAGACATGATTTTTGGATTTCTGATGCAGACATGTAGACCAGTGAAGACTACAATTTTTATGCTAAGACATGATTTTTGGATATATGTTAGTTTGTGGTTAATGTTAAAACATGATTTTTGGATTTTGGATATGTTAATTTTATGGGTAATAGTGATTGGATATTAATTGAATAAGAAAGTGAATTAATGAGAGTTATTATTTTATATTACTACTATTATAGGTATTTTTTTAGTTCAATCAAATAAAATTAACACAATTTTAAAAAAAGGGGGGGGGGATATGACGGCGTTTTTACAAACGCCTCCTAGACCATGCTAACGGTTATATTTTTAAAAAAAGATACAACGGCGTTTTTCCAAAACGTCGCTAAATAATTAGTCAATGAGTCAGTGTGCATTGTGTAGGACATTTAGCGGCGTTTTTGAAACGCCACCTATACTAAATATTATGACGTTTTTAAACCGTCACTAAGCTACAGCGACGGCCGCGTCCTCGGCGTTTGGTGCTAAACGTCGCAAAAAAAATTGGCGGCGTTTTTGACCCTTATAGCGGCGTTTTTTAAACGCCACTAAAAATTAAATTTCCAGCAGTGTGGGTGGGGTGTAAAGTCAAATGAATTGAGGGAGAATAAATGAATTGAGGGAGAATGCTGATGAGCTTGTTTGGTTTGAAATATTTATATTTATATTTTTTTTTTAATTTAAAAAGATAAAAAGTGTACTTATTTAGAATATTTTAAATAACTTAAGCCAAGTTTGATAACACCAAAATAATCTATCTTTTTATCTTTTTTTTTATCACATTATCTTTCTATTTTTCTACACATCTTTTTATAAAAAAAATAAAAATAAACTTATTTAATTGATCCCAAATAAGCCCTTAGTGTGCAGGCAGCATGACCGGTGGGTGGATTAAAAAAACGACAATGCTACGTAGCTCAAATTTTGTGGCTCAAAAGTGGCTCAAATGGCCAAAACGACGTCGTTTTGAGTACAGAACAACATAAAAATGGTCAAAACGACGTCGTTTTGGCCATTTGAGCCACAAAATTTGAGTTACGAGACATTTTCCTTAAAAAAATAACAAGATAACACACATGGGTCTGCACTATCTCTGCTCTTGTGGTGTTCGTTGAAAAAGGCTGAAGTAGGTTGTTACAAGCAGGGGTGTGCGCAGTGCGGGTCGGTGCGATTTGAGAGAAAAATAGAAACTGTATGGTGGGTGGTGGATTGATAAAAGTGTCAGTAGAATTTGTCATTTTTTTTATCAAAAACTGACGGTTCGATTGGCAAATAATGGCGGATTTGCCTTGGCGGTTCGGGCGGATTGGCGGTTTATAAAAAATATAATTCAAATTACAAAATTTAAATACAGAGTAAAAAAAAGACGAGAGATACCGTGATGTTAAGTATCTTGTGAAGCTTTCTTCGATGCAGCAAGTGTAGCAACACATGATAATATCAATGACTATGCCATCAGTTCATTACAAACATCTGTGGAAGCTACAATGATCAAATACAATACATAAAATTAATATCATTCAGGGTTTACAATATATTGAAAATATTTATTATTGAAAAGTATTTAGATTGAAAAGTGAGCTGATGTAAGTTTGCAACATGGCCAGGAAAAAAAAAAGATTGAAAAGTGAATTGGAATCCAACTTTATTTTGGATTACTGACATCTTGAATTCCCCTCGAGCAGTAATTTAATACTATATTCTAAGGTATAGAACAACAAGCAAACTTAAGTAAAAAAAGAATCAGCAATGCTAGGTATCATGAAAAACTTTTCATGAAAATAACCATGAAAGCTTTGTGACTCTTGGATTGCACTTAGAATAAAGCACTACACATTAATCAAGGTAATTCAAGGATCATAAATCTTTCATGATCATTTTCATGAAAAAAATTCCATGATCCTTAACTTTTCTCAAAAAGAATTTTTAGAATCTTATAAAACATGATTTAATAACGGTGCGAGTCGGTGCGGTTTGAAAGAAAAATAGAAACCGACGGATTGATAAAAGTGTCATTAGAATTTGCCATTTTTCTTATCAAAAACCGACGATTCGATTGGCAACTAATAACGAATTTACCTTAACAATGCAGGTCGGTGTGATTTTAGCGATTTCGACGGTATTATACACACCCCTAGTTACAAGTGGAGCTTGAAAGTGCAATAAGTAGAGGAGAAAAAAAATCAAAGAAAGGCGGACCAATAACACAATAACAAGGGAAAAGTTAGAGATCATGAAAATTTTGTCATGAAAATGATCATGAAAAATTTTTAATCCTTGAATTACCTTGATTAGTACATGGTGCTTTATTCTAAGTGTAATCTAAGGGTCACAAAACTTTCATGATTATTTTCATGAAAGATTTTTCATGATACCTAGCATTGCTGTAATAAAAATGGGTCTAATCTCTCTCTCTCCTTAACACCAAAACCAACCTTCTCTCTCGGCAATTCTCTCTCCCGGCAATTCTCTCTCTCTCTCTTTCCATGCATGACAATTTGACACACCCAACACACACACATTACACAGCAGCACACACCGGACAGCTAGAGACATACTCTCTCTCTCTTTCCATGCATGACAATTTGACACACCCAACACACACACACATTACACAGCAGCACACACGGGACAGCTAGAGACATACAGATTCTCTCTCTCTCTCTCTCTCTCTCTCTCTCTCTATATATATATATATATTTCTCACTTGGTGAGACCAAACCCATGGCTCTGGCTAAAAAGATTACAACCTGATTTCTCTCCGGTTTCTCTCTGATAAAACACAAAGACGCATGCATGGGCTGAGGTGATGGTAAATACATGCATGGGGTGAGAACTCTCTCTCTCTCTCTTGGAGTGATCTTCTGAGCACCGATTCTTTCTCTCCAAATCGGCCATGCATGCTTTCCATCACAATGGCCAAAGCAACATGAGACGTCCGTAACCAAAAAAAAAAACATCTGTCATTCTCTCTCTTACTATGGCCGACCCCATTCTCACCACCCACCTTCTAATACCGAAATGAAGAAGAAAACTGGTTCAAGTGAAGAAGGTGAAGTTGGGTTCACAAGGTCTAGAGTTATCAACACAGAGACTCGGCTGCATGGGCATGTCCAGAAGAAGACATGATCCAGCTCGCCCACCACTCCATCAACTCCGGCGTCACTTTCCTCGACACCTCCCAAAGTCTATGGTAATATCAACGAAGCTCTCTCTCTGTCAAGGGATGAAGGCAGCATCTCTCTATTCTCTCTCTCTCTCTCTCTCTACAGAGACCAACCAGGCTCTCTTATTCTTCAAGACCGACACCGCAGCTGCCAAACCCAAAGGCCACCGTGACCAGCTGGCTGTGCAACCACCGAAGACCACCGACGTTCCCACGTTGGCCATCATCGCAACTCCAGGCGCCATGGCCGTCTTTCCTTTCTAGATTCTTGAACTCTGGTTACCCACTGCCGGAGTTCAAATGGATATATATGCTCAAATTGGTTTGGAGTTGAAGCATGAGGTGATTCTGTCAGTTGGGAGTTGAAGCCTGAGGTTGATTCTGTCAGCAAGAATGGTAGTGTTGAGTATGTTGAGTCTGTGAAGAAATCACATGGTGGACGAATGTCTCATGATGGTGGGAGGTCCAGCAATAGCAGCAGCGGTTCAAAGCTTCTCTCTCTCTCTCTCTCTCTCTCTCTCTCTACAGGTGACACCTTTCTCTCAACAAATATCTTTGGCGCGCGTACGGTACCAGGAGCACCCTACCTCTCGCAATTTCTCTGTTTCTGAGTTCGTTTATTCAATTCATTCAACAAAAGTTTTCCGTGAGAGAAGCCGCTGCGCTAACCAGAATAACAAAGACAATATATATCGGGATGCACTTGCAGCCAGCACCAAGGACGAAGCACTAGCAGTGGTACGAAATGGCGACCCAAAATGTTTCTGGTTAAATTATGACAAATTGTCATCAAATTATGACCGGATTTCATTTAATCCCCCATTGCCGTATGTTCATCTATTTACAGACACAGTATGGGTCGTTCCAACAGCAATACAGCAATGGGTTGCAGACAATATAAGAGACGAAGCCCAAAGATCGCATAGGCCCAAGAGCATTATAATTGAAGGCCCATCTAGAATTGGGAAAACATGTTGGGCCCGGTCTTTGGGACCACATAATTATTATTTTTCATAATAACTATTATTACTGTAAGCCAACATATAGTTTGTTTTATTGTGGTTTTGTTATGGTGGGGCCATCAGAAGTTTTTAGTGGAGATTGTTATTATTGATCACTACGTGGAGCATGAAAGGAAATTTCATTCTGTTTGGTTAAAATGGTTATGTGGTTGACCCACGGAATTTTGGGTTATGACTATTGTGTCTGTGGTCCACGGTACTGTAAGTGGTGGCTCACAATTGTAAACACTTGTGGGCTGTGATCTAGGTTTATATGGTGTTCTTTCGTTCAACCATGGTGCAACGGTATATGGGTTTACAGTGGTTTAGTTATGATGGTTGATTACGTGATATTCATGTGATCCTACCAGATAAATAGTGATCGGCAGTGAATAGTTTTCTAAAATGATTAGTACTCCACAAAATAAATTTTCTTAGACAGCACAGAGCACTCTTCCTGTCAAGCAAAATATTTTCCAGTGATCCCTAAAGAACATGAAGCTTTTCCTTTGTTTATTTTTTATTTTGAGTGTTTTGTGAGGTTTTATTTTATTTTATTATTTCTTCCCCCCTCCTTTATTTGGATATATAATAATTTAAGTGTTGTAATAATTCCTCCACCCCGCTTCTTTCTATCACATTCTTTAATCGCTTTCCATATATGGATATATCTGACATGCCATGCATATCCATGCTTTGCATCCATGTTTCATGCATATTGATTCGGCTAAGTTTGCATCTTTGTGAGTAGATTTCATCAATTCTTATATGATTTTGTGTACTATCGCAAGTATTGCAATGATTCACATGCCATATCTTAGATGCTGAATCTTTAGTTGCATCTCATGAGTGAATTGCATTAGAATTTTGTATATAAGATCATGCATATTGCACTAACTTTGTTTTGTAATTGTTCGAGGGACGTCGGTAAATCTGTGAGTTTTTATGTTTTAGCATCCCATTTGTGTGTATTTTTCTTACTATGTGTTAACATTCTACTATGAGGCTAATTGCTTAACTGATAAACTGTTTGAATGCCTGTGGATGAAAGGTTGTTACTTGAATTGGAATGATTCGATGAATGTACGTTTAAGCCCACTTTGTGGTGGCAAATTCACAAACTTTAAGCCCACTTGAGATGGCAAATTCAAACTCTTTTCAAAAAATAAACATGAAATCGAATTGTTCCAATTTGAGCAAACTAGTCTATACCTTGTATGCTTCACATAATAAATTTGAGGATTTACTAAATAATCAGAACATGAACATATAAAGAAAATAAAATTCATATCATGGTTTAGTAGAGGTCGATCTTTGATCGGGTGAGCGGGGTGCTCATTATTGACCTTCCCCTCTCATACCTAAGGTTCCGAGCCAAGTATCATTGGTTACGACGAACAGTAGCCTTGGCACGAGTTATGGGTTTCCTAATTTCCCAAAATATTAGGCAGTGACTCTAAGATCTGATGACGCAGTCCATTTTTGACAAAATTGCAATAAAATGGATATTCAATAAAAGTTGTCAAATCTGGACTCTCATCTACGTTTCACATTACACTCGTGAGACTAGATCAAAGAGATCTCGAGGGTCCGAACTGTTTAACGCGCGCGGGTACCCCCTGGGCATGTTATATGGGGCGGGGCTGGCCTCGCCACTTTATACGGCTATATGAGCCTGACCTCCCGCTTGAGGGAAAATTTGATCGGTGGCTACTAGTGAGCTTGGGAGGTACACATCTTTGTACTATACACTTTTGGTTCAGCATTTCTTGCTTTGTATTTGTTCAACACATGTGGTTTCTACTTTGCACTTTCTGCATATGTTTATGTTGTATGCTTTCTGCTTTGCATTTTCTATATCTGTTCAAATTGTATGCTTTTCTGCTTTGCATTTTCTATATTTGTTCAAATTCATTGTTAATTATATCATTGCATTTTCCTTGCAGCTATGAGTGCATGCCTATTTTCTGACTCTAGCCCCAGAGCCTGTAGTGGAGCTTCCATTGACAGTCTCCTACTGATGGAGATATGACGGTCAGCTCTACCGTAGGACCCCCGAGTCCTTTTCATTCTTCAGGAATTACTTTGACACAGTAATTGCTCATGAGGTAACCCAAAACACAGTCATTTTTGTCTTACAACTGTTCTAACTCACATATTAGCAACTGACAATGGCTAATAATCGGTTCACCTTCTACGTTCAGATCACATGGCAGCCATGGGCCGATACCGACATGGATTCAGGGCCAATATAATGCGGCTTAGGGCATTTCTCGTTATCGCATTCTACTTGAGGGCCCAGTTTGCCGGGTCTGGTTCATAGGCGAGCGAGTCATGCGTCAGACCATGGGTTTCCCTGCTTCGATCATACTGATGGCACCGCTAGAGTCCATGAGGTTAATAGACAACCTATCTGCTGATGAGGTCATTCAGTTCATGGTGGGCCTGGAAGCAGACTACTTCTGAGTCGAGGGCGATTATACAGTCTTCATTCAGACATACTTTATGCCATGTTTAATCGGTGTTCGTGGAGGCGAGGAAGCGAGAGCTCCTGCTGCGAGGACAGCGCCTAGAGTGACCAGGGCCCATGGGAGAGGGACTTCTCGGGCGAGGCAGATGACTGGTTGGCCAGAGCTTCCCACTACACTTACATGTTGGCAGCATACCGGGGAGGCTTACCAGATCCCTATTGAGCCTACATCGGCCGGGCACGAGCTTGCCAGGGTTCGAGGTCCAACTCCAATATGTACCATTGTTTACGTTTTGCATGCCATATTTCATTTCAGCTATATATATAGAACCTTGATCAAATAAATGTACTTGCAGGCATCTATACAGTACACCGGGGACGCTCTCAAGCTGGCGGCTTCCCTAATGAGGATGGTGTAGAGGAGCATGAGCCTGTTCAGTCTCTACAGCATTCAGGTAACCTTCTCCAGTTTACGCTTCATGCTATCAATCTTTATGGTGATACACAAGCATTTTAATTGTAATATGTTCCATATTGCAATGATTTGATACACTGCATCTGATACATTGCACTCAAATACTATATTCATACACTCATGTTGCATACCATCTGTGTATCTAATACATACACTGATGTGGTTCGATACAGATGGATATCTCGGAGAGACCGCCAGTTTGACGTAAAACTACACCCTGGATGTAGAGCCCTAACAGCTTCAATTTTCGGGATAGTCGTTCATCCCTTTCAGTACCAACCTCCGGCAAATCGAAATGGAAAAAATGAGGCTCATCATACGGGAGGAAATCGTCAATCCTCCAAATGGAATCACACAACGATTTAGACGTGAATCGTTTTTTTTTGTAATAACTATGTTTCCGTAATTTAAAATAACTTCGACCGGAAACACCAGATCTGCTGGAGGTTGTCCAACGGCGACTAAAATTTAATTTAGTTCTAGCGGTATATGGACGCCGTTGCGAAAAACGGAAAGTAGTCGCCATAATCGACGATAAGGAACCCCACCATTAAATGCACCACATCGATTTTATTTTATAGGCGTAATATGTTGACCGTGACATGGATCAACTGAACAGTTGCTATTTTAAAAACTAGGTTCCTGTATAACGTATGGCACAGAATAATAACAGAACACCACAATGCAGAAAAATCAAAGCGTGGGCCATACGTAGGTTAACTGTTTACACAATCAGCTTGCGCTTGCCTTTAAATTGAAATTTCCCGCTTGCGCTTGCCTTTTTAGATTTTTAATCCTGGCCACAGATCTGGGCGCGGAGCGGAGACACTAGCCGACAACAAGCCTCAAAATGCGGAAGGGAGCACCAATCGGGGGACGACACGTGGCGCGGGGGGAGCGTCCCAGGTAATATTAGTGGGACGCTCCTGGGCACCTATATAACTCACTCCCTAACTCTCTTCCACCAGTAAAGTTTTTGAGAGAGTGACTTGCGTCATCCGAGAGAGTAAGTGACGTCATCGAGAGTGAGTTATGGCATCAATGCGACGTCGTTTTAGACAACGCGTCAAGAACATTTTCCTCTCCCAACTCCAT